GGGGGGGAATCACCACCCCCCCCCCCCCCCCCCCCAGGGAGCCAGGTAGCTGCATAACAAAGGTAGTGTTGGATTAGAATCCACTGGGTAAGAGTTCAAGGGGAAGGCCACGTGGAATCAGGAGAAGTCACTGAGAATAATGTACCGAATGGAGAAACATGGAATAATGTAAAGAAGCTGGCCCAAAATAGGAAAAAGTGGAAAGTGTATATCGGTAACCTATACCCTGATCCAGGGCGAGAAAGGCAATGAGGATGATACTTATCTTCACTTTATGACCGAACAGTGTTTATCATACCAAAATCAAGTCACGTGAAAGGGGGAAAAAGGAATTTGAAGCCCGGAAGAAACTGATGAAAGAATTGTGGCTTTCAGGGAACTGATACAATGTAGTGTTGGCACTTTTGTCGTAGGTTGAGTGTTCATTTTATACATCGGATTGGGGCAGGAAAGAGCACTGGCCAGTTTGCATTTGTCGGACAGAATTGTACTAGAATGTACCTTCATCTAATGCGCTTCCTCGAGATACGTACCCTATAGCTGCTTTGTTCAGAAGGAAACTCTGGAATGTTACTCTGAGATCTAGTTTTCTGACGTCGCCGACTGATTCAGAAAATCGAATAAACACTTGTTGATCTTGAGAAATCAAAACGAGGATGGTCAAACTGGTTTCAGTCGTCAGAATAGCTGTCGCCATTATAATATCCTTCCTGCAAAGTGGGACTAACAGTGAGTAGTGAGAGACTGACTGAGCTCTTAGGAGACGTTACTCTCGTGTTTACCGACTAAGTGTCAGGTGAATCTAGGTCACGTGCCAGAGCTTGCCGTACGCGATAACGTGTCCTACTGCTTCATATTATATAGCTACTGGAAGCCACCCGTGAACGGACGGGGAAAAAGCAAAAACAAAACAAAACAACTAAATGAAAATAAAAACTAATAGAAAAATAGGGAATGGAGTGTGGGTTTGCGGAGTTTTATGGAACTGGAACACACTCGCATACATGCACATACGCTCAGTCACACGTGCCTCCTTAAAACCCTACCTTGCAAGCGCGCGCGC